ATTATGCAATAAAAGTCGATAATTACTTTTTTCTCCCAGGTTACTTAGAAGCCCAGTTTAGAGTTTGGGGTTCAGGGTGCAGGGGTTTGGGGAATAGGGTTAGGGGTTTAGGGTCCAGGGTAGGACAGCATACCCGAGATGCTCAAGATCCGTCTTGACATTGAAGAGGCTGAGTAAGCGCAACCGAACATCAGTATGTACATGTACCTACAGTCTCCATCGTAGTTCCTCTTTTTGGGTTTCCTTGTGGGCTCCTAAGTTTAACTCCAGCTGAACCAAAACAGGAACCGCAATGGAGTGTATAGGTAACCCTAAACCCTAAACTCCCTAAACCCTCAAACCCCTCAAAGCCCTGTAAGGGAACTACACTGGAGACTACATAAACCCTAGACCCTAAACCCTGAACCCCAAACCCTATACGCACTTCATAGAAGGGCATCGTGATCCCTACACCCTAAACCCTAAAATAGGTACTTCATAGAAGGGCATCGTGATCACCCTAAACCCTAAACCCTAAACCCTAAACCCTAAACCCTAAACCCTAAACCGCCTCACCGGTTCGATCACGGCATCAGAGGAAGTGGGACGACAGATCCCAGGTCCTCGACCCGAAAGGTCCGAAAACCCTAACGGTTTAGGGTTTAGGGTTTAGGGTTTAAGGTTTAGGGCTTCGGGTTTAGGGTTTAGGGTTTGTCGTTTAGGGTTTAGGGTTCAGGGNNTTGAGGGTTTGGTTTAGAGTTTAGGGCCCTCAATCCTTAAACCCGAAATCCTAAGTTCTGCATAGTGTCAGAGTTACATGGCAGGCTCTCTCCAACCTCTCCCCTGGTGAGTGGGAGCGCGCAGAACTCAGTGGAGGCATTGAGGTTGCCTGGCTCTACCTGCCGCCACAGTCCACGCAGCGCTATTCCGCTCTAGTAGGAGCCTAAACCCTAAACCTTAAGCCACCACCGCTTGCGAAGATCTTCGGGCTCTTGGTTGTGCAAAGGCGAGAAAGGTAAGGCAGGCGGCAGATGTGTAGAGAGGCCCTAATATAGATGGCTATTACATTCCTGCTGTTCTCAAAGGCCGAAGAACGGGGGGTTCAACTGCATGTTGTAACAATGACAGCAACTCAGACTCCTAAGTTGAACTTGGACTGTTTTTCTTTTTTTTTTGGGGTGGGGTGGGGGGGGGGGGGGNNGGGTCTAGGGCCTAGGGTTTAGGCTTTAGTAAGTAACTAGGTTTTCCAGTAGTACCTTTTGCCCTTTTTCTCTTTGGGTTCCCGGATTGAACCCGAATAGTAGGAAAAAGGGTACCTTTATTCTTAAGGAACCATCGCAGAACCTAGTTATGAGCATAGCAGTGTTGGTCTTGATGCTGAAGTATGTGGCTGTTGTAGTTATTGATACATAACTTGACTTGGGAACAGCACTGCAGCAGTGCTGTTGCAGGTGTGCAAAGACAAGCTTGTTGAGACTAGCTAAGGCCATATCGACGGCGAGGACGTCCAAGCTGAGAGTTAATGATATTGGATATGTCCTGCGCCTTGGGCGTCCTTCCGGGTTTAGGGTTTAGGGTTCGCGCTACCATTCCTCCGGGTGCCTTATACTAGTTACAGTAGAATGCCCCAAAGCTTTACTCGAATTCTCAGCGCGCTTTCGATTATGTTGTACCTTGTCTAGTCTGATATTGGGATTGAGGGGAAGGCTTCCCAAAAACGAGACACACCCTGCGCGGAAGATGGATCGGCAAACCCTAAGCCGTTAATTGTCCCTCAACTCAGAATCGTCATTGAGCTTTCAACCCTTCCGCATCTCAAGGGACAGGACACCACTTGCGCCGGATCTTTTAAGGCTGCACCTTTGTGCCGTCTCACAGTTAGCGACCACCGGCGAAAAGCTGGTTTGATGCTTCGCGGCTTCTGCACGACAGGTCAAGTAGTGCACAGGCCTGGCAAAATGGCTAGACCCTAAACCTTTAAAACTTAAAGCCCTCAGACCCAAAACAATGTAATCTGAAAGCGCTTCTTACGCCCAAAACCCTGAACCCTCCAACGCCTTGAGCCCTAAACCCTAACAGCCCTAAGCCCTAGCAGCTATGTTTCTTCCCGCCCTCAACCCTAAACACAGAAGCCGCTGCCGGGAAGCCCGTCGGCGTGCAAGCATCGTGTACTTGGAGGTTCATGGCTAGTTATAAGTAGGGTTTTAAGTAGGGTAACTATACTTATAACCCCATTAGGGGACTTAGAACCCTACTTATAAGTACCCCTGAACCTCCAAGTAGGGCAGCCCTTGCATGGCCAACCAGGTCTTTCGATGGATAGCAGCGCTTTAGGGTTGAGGGCTTTGGGTTTCTTAGGGGTACTTAGAAATAATTTTTAATCTTTGGCTACTATAAACCCTAAGAAGCAGCAAAATTATAATTTTTGCTAGGGGTCTAAGTTCAGTATAGGTTTAGGGTTAGATTTAGGGTGCGTTTAGTACGTTTGCCGCGACTCTGGGCTGTCACGACATCTTGTTGCGAAAGTTCTTCTGGTTGTTTCGGGGCGTCTGGTTGTGTCGGGGGGGGTGGGGGGGGGGTGGGGGGGGGCACAGTGATAAACCTCAGATTTGCGTGCCTCAAAGTGCCGTAATCTGAAACTTTCAGTCTCAACCCTGAACCTTCAACAGCACCCGTCAAGACAGAAGACTTGAAACTCTGAAATTCGAAGCTTCTACTAGTACCTTCAACACCAACCTTCAACATCCACACCCTGAAGGCTTAAAGTTGGACCTTGCGACTGAAGCTGTTCCTTCTGGGACCTTGCAAGACCTCGAGTCTCATCAGGATGCAGGCTCTTGCTGCATGTCCTGCAACTGCAACCATGCCATAGACACGTAAGCTTGGCAAAGAGAGCAGGTATCTTGCATCGCTTGTCGATACTCTGCGAGTGCAGATAGAACATCTGCGAAGGCCGCCTGACTGTTCAACCACACGAAACTTAGACCATCAATGTGATTTTTGTTGTCCTTCTTGCTGTGTTTGCCAAGCAGGTTGACACGTCGTAGCTGGAACTTCATCATGATGGCTAAGCTCTCCCACTTCTGATCACCGCCAATGATCCGGACACTGGGCTTGGTCTGGCTTGTGCGTTTTTGTTGCTGTGATGTTCTGAAGAACATCACTTGCAAGATTGGCTCTGGACAGCTTCACCACCGGTGTGTACTCTGCACGGCCATGCCGAGCTGTTGCTGCTTCGAGTCCCATCTCTTTCCAGTGAAAACTGCATAGCTCACCACAATCTCACAGAAGTCTGCAGACACCACTTGCGTCAAAGTTTTGTGCGTGTCGCCTGCCTCTAGCCAAGGGATGCTCCAACAACCTTTCAAGCAGGATGTCCAGGCCGATCACTTGCTCGCAGCAGAAGTGCATCACCCAATGCCTCCAGAAGCTCGAAGAAGGAACATATGCCTGCAGGTCCAGCCTCATCACTGCTTCAAGTGTTCGAAAGCAGGAACATATGCATGCATGTCCAGCTCCAGCACTGTTTCAAGTTAGAGTTTCCATGGCCACGAAACACCGAGAGGGTAGCTATGCGCGTCCTCCAACTCTGAAGTTCCAAGACGCAGCATGATTTCTTTTAAGAATGATTGCACATACACATGCTTGACACGATGTCAGTTCTGAAACCATTTGCACACGGAAAAACTGCTGTCCCTGCCAGTAGAAATGCAATGTAGCATGTGGATGCACTACCAAAGAATCTACTTCAGAACCGCAACCACAGCACACATGTCAGCGACTCGAAGGACAAGCGCGGCAAACATACTAAACGCGCCCTAGATTTAGGGATTTCGTTGCGTTTGTGTGTGTGTGTGTGTGTGTTTTGTTTATGTGGTTTAGGCTACTTCCTTGTGGGGGGAAAGGGATCCAAAATAGGTTTGTTGTTGGTTCAATAACGGATATAGCTGCTGCTCGAGATTTTTATCATGGTTTATTGGGCCAAGCTCACGGCGATTCGCTTTCAGGGCTTTTGGGAGTGCAAGGTTTAGGCTTAAGGTCAAGGGTTTAGGTTGCTGCGCAATTGCCTTGATAGAAGCGTCTCATCATCGTGTTGCTAAATAGTGAACCCCCTGATGTTGGAACATGGATTTAGGATGATTAGTTCTGGGACTCCCTATACTTTAACTTAAGGGCATGAGGATAATGATGTTCCAACCTTCTGGCTTCTACTGTACGTACCTCTGCTCGGAGGTTCATGGGTAGTTATAAGTAGGGTTATAAGTAAGGTAACTGTAATTATTCCCGTATTAGGGAACTTATAGCCCCACTTATAACTACCCATGAACCTTGAAGTGGTCCATTAGGAGAGCAAATTGGCCTGATGCCGGCTGACCCTTGGGGAAGCGGCGTGCACTCCCGTCTTTTGCAATTGTTTGTCGAGATGGTCCTGGACTGCTTCACCTGCAAATCCAGGTGTTGACCGCTGGGTACCAAAACTTTACACCTAGATTACACCCTAAACCCTAAACCCTAAACCGTGTCATCTTTTGTTGCAAGCAGACTGAACTCCCAAGCGTGAAGTCCGTGCCGCACCCCCTGATCGCACATGCTGAACAGCTTTTATCAGAGCAAGACCTCCGTCTGTCCACTGAAGAAGGCCCAATCCGGGTTTCGGAGTAGATGCCACAGCACAGCTTCACAGGTTTAGGGTTTAGGGTTTAGGGGCAACAATAAAAGCCCTCCCTGCAAGTATGTGAGCCGCTGGACAGAAGCGAGCCCTATCCTGAACAGAGCCCATACAGAACAATGTGTAGCACGTAGAAACCCCTTCGACATGAAAGGGGCACGAAACACTCCGGAAAACTCCCCTAAACCCTAATAAAGGGGTCTTCAAAATTACCTAGATTATCTTGCGGGGTTCCTGATTATAAGTATGGTATGGTATGGTATACGCCCAAACCCGATTCTAATTATGAAGGCCCCTACACTAAACCTTAAACCCTCGACCTGGTTGAGTCGTCCGGCTGCACTGCTTTGCCATGTCCCCATCCGGAGACGACGGGAAGATGAGGCCCTAAAAAACAGGGAACCCAGCCGCGTAGGGTTCTTTGCGATAAGAATATTTATAGAAACTTAGTTCCCCAATACCCAGAGCGGCCTTAGCCCTTTTAAAAGGGATCTATAGGGTTCCTTTAAAGGGATCTATAGGGTTCTATAACTTAGTTCTCCAATACCCAACCTTTACACATTTGGGGTTCTTATAATTTACTAGCAACCTGAAAGTTTAACCTGTTATTTCCCTGGCTTATTGGGGAAGTAAGGAAAGAAGGACAAGCATAATACAAATATGTTAATAGTGATAGTAGGGGTTAGGGTTTTAGGTGTAGGGCAGCCTTTCGTATCCACATCGCGAACTTGTGCAGGTGGTGTCCTCTTATGCTGGTCGCGGCTGGGCCTGAGGTGGGATCTGCATGGCACTGTAATCGAAACCAAGACCTAAAAGACAGACACAGGGATGCTTGGAGGTTCATGGGTAGTTATAAGTAGGGTTATAAGTAGGATAACAATAATTATAACCCACATTAGGGGACTTACAACCCCACTTATAACTACCCATGAACCTCCAAGTGGAATGAACTTGCATCGCCATACAACAAGAAGACCAAGGAGCTGCCTGGTTTTTAGGGTTTAGGGTTTAGGGTTTAGGGTTTAGGGTTTATCATATGTTACGACCATGATCGGTATCGGCAGAACAAGAAAAACACGGAAAGAGCAATCGTCGTCGTCGTCCGTCGTCGTCGTCCTGGTCATCATCATGCTCTATTCCTTGACCAGCATCATTTTCTCGTTAACATCAACACCGTCATCGCCTCATCATGAGTAGTTAACAGCTTATGACTACCATCGTCTGCGCCTCTTTGTTCATACTCGTACTCGTACGAACACGGAGATGACGAACAGCTGGCAAGCCTGATGGTAAGTGTTGCGGAACTGTACAGGGATTCGTGCAGAAACTATCACCTTCACTTGTAGCTCCCACCCCTCTAAAACCCTTACAAGACCTTGACCCCTCAATCCTAAACCCGAAACCCTAAACCCTCAACCCTCTTAGCCCCTGAACCCTAAACCCGAAACTCGAAGCCTTAAACCCCCAAGCCCTCATATCTGAACAAACCTAGAGTTTAGGGTTTCGGGCTTAAGAAGGTTAAGAGTGTTAAGAGGGTTAAGGGTTTAGGGTTTTAGAGGGTTAAGAGGGTTTAGGGTTTGGGGTTTAGAGTTTAGAGTTTAGGGTTTATAGGGTCTAGAGCCCAGAAAGGCGCCAGAATCCGGGCTTGCCCTGCTGGGCGGGGCCGCTTCGGAAGGCGATGGTGAGGCTTGGTTCAGGGTTTGGGGCTTCGGGGATTTAGGGGATTTAGGGGTTTAGGGTTTGGGGGCTTTAAGGGTTTAGGGGTTTGGGGATTTAAGGTTTTAGAGGGTTTGGGTTCAGGGTTTGGGGCTTTAGGGAAGGGTTTGGGCCTTAGGGTTTGGGGCTTTAGGGATTTAGGGGTTTAGGGTTTGGGAATTTTAGGGCTTCAGGGTTTTGGTTTAGGGCTTGAGGGCTTTAGGGGTTTGGGGGTTCAGGGTTTGGGGAGGGGTTTAGGGTTTGGGGTTTGAGGGTTTAGGGTTTGAGGGTCTCGTGGTCTAAGCTGTGGGGGTTTAGTGTCAAGGGGTCCAGGGTTTAGGGTTTAGGGGTTTGGGAGCTGCTTGGGAGCTGCTTTCGATCATTTTGATTTTTGATGGCAGTGAAGAACATTGTGATCGTGATGGTGGTGACATTGCTGACGACGATGATGGTGGTGCTACATTTGACGATGATGTTGTTGTGATGATGAGATAGAGACTGCTGGCGCGGCTAATGATTGTTGCTATGGTTCTTGCTATTGCCAGAAGAAATCCGGTCGTTATCTTTGATTCTGTCTTGGTGGATTCCAGGCTAGGCCCGTAAACCACCTCTGGTTCTGCCTTTGCTGTAGACATTGTCGGATTTCGCATGTTCCAAGATATGGCGTTTGGCCAACCTGTAATGTTCAATATTTGGGTTTGGGGTTTCGGGTGCCTTCCGTGCTGCTGTCAGCACTTGCTTCGCAGTCGAGCAGGTACCCTTATGATAGGGACAAACCCCTGGATGATGCCTATACCTTCAGGACGGAATGAACCCTGAAAGGGGTTTAAAGCTCATATACCATATAGGGATTCATGGTATAAGGGTATAGGGCCCCCTACTTTTAAGGGTCATTCCGTCTGTGAGGTGTAGTCCCTGTTTGACCGCAATTGATAGCCTTGAGTTCCCTGAGACACTGGGTGTGCGGAGGGCAAGTTCATGACATGTTCGAAGCCCAGACCCCCAAAAGGATTTAAAAAATAGATCCCCTAAGGGGGTTCCTATAAAGTACCCTTTAGTAGTTAGGGTCCCTAATTAGGGGATCTATTTTTTAGATCCTTTTTGGGGTCTGGGAGGGGTTTACTGTTGGAGTACCATACTTTAACACGTTGTTGGGACCTGTTCCTTAAAGGAACCATTATGAAATAAACGTCTATACTCGTTTCTCCTTGGTTACGTCAAAGCCCAGTTTAGGGTTCAGAGTTTAGGGTTAGCCCCGTCTGAAGAGAAGATCGCCCGAATCGGTTTACCCTAAACCCTAAACCCCTAAACCCTAAACCCTAAAACCTAAACTAGATTTAGGGTTTAGGGTGTATGCATTCGTCTGAAAGGCCCCTCCATCTCTTCTCGTGCTACAGTACGAGACCTACCGTCAGGGCAGCATTTTGCAGCCTCCTTCTGTGCACTCTCACAACATGAAGAGATATCCGAGCAGAACGCCACACAAACTGTCTTGTTCCTTTCAGAGCCCAATTAAATCTCGAAGCAGTGCAGCAAGGCCGGCAAGATTTTCCAGAAAAGCCCAGTAGAGCAAACCCTAGGCCCTACAACCAAAGCAGCGCAGGTTCTAGAAGAAGCCCAGTAGAAGAAACACTTTGCCCTAAACCCAACAATTGTGCAGAAAAGCTCAGCAAAATCCATCAACCCTAAACCCTAAACCCTAAACCCTAAACCCTAGCCCTCAACCATTAACCCGAAACCTTATCATCAAAGCATTGCAGGCCGGGTCCAGCTTCACGGAGGACGGCCGCTTATACATGGCGACGCCGGGATCCCCGGATGAGCTACCTGAGCCCTTTCTTGGCGTTCTTCTGGTTGGCTCTTAGGACTTTAACTTTTTGGGTTTCTATATGAACTATAATAAGTAGGCTAAAAGTTTAACTGTGAGGAGGGGTTCAGAAGTCAGCCAAGCTTTAAAAGCCTACCCTTCTTCAGAGGATTCCACCACAATTACGACAAGAGCTGATATCAGGGGTTTCTACAACGGTTACGATTCGGGTTTGGCAAGGATTACGATTAGGCTCACTATAGGGGGTTCTACGGAATATTGCCAGGTTACTATACGACTTCTGCTATCAGGGGCGCTACAAAGGTTATATAAGGATTACTATGACTTGCAGTTACCCTAAACCCTAAACCCGTTCAAATCCTAAACCCAAACCCCTAAACCCTATAAGGATTACTTTCTCTTGGGAATACTCTCCGGGTTCTATAATGGTGGGTATTGAGGCTACTCTTAGGGTTCTTCAAGGTTTACGAAGCGCAGCCACGGCTGCGAGGAAGAGGTTACGAGGAGTCTCAGGACTCGGTCATTGGTCTACTTCAGGATTTCGGGTTTAGGGTTTAAGGTTTAGGGGTGTCGGGTGAAGGGTTTAAAGTGTAGAGCTCCGGGTTTCGGGTTCTGGGTTTCTGGTTTAGGGTTTAGACTCTACTACACCACACTCTGCTCTGATCTTCTCTACTTGGAGGTTCATGGGTAGTTATAAGTGGAGTTATAAGTCCCCTAATAGGGGTTCTAATTATAGTTACCCTACTTATAATCCTACTTATAACTAGCCATGAACCTCCAAGTAGTCAACTCCTCTAATTTCTCAACTCTACTCAGCAACTCAACTCTACTCACCAAAACCCTTTTATAGGGGCCTAAGTATTACCAATCCTATTTTGGGGGCTCCTTTTCATGGTTCTCGTATAGTATGCCCCAAAACCCAATTCTAGTTATTACGGCCCTATACCCTAAACCCTAAACCCTAAACCCTGAAATTACTTTAATCATAACTTCTGCCGGCTCCTCTTTTGTGGCCGGCTCGGCTCGTGCGAAGAGCAGGTCCGGTCTTTGCCTCTGGGACAGCGAGTCCCCAACAGTCACTTGCCTGATCCCTTATAGGTTTAAGGTTGAAGGGTTTAGGGTTCGGAGTTTAGGGTTTAGGGTTTAGCTGCCCTGGCTGTTAGTAAGGATGCCTTAGCCTCCCTCGCTGTTAGTAAGGGTTTAAGGGTGCTGTTAGTAAGGGTTTAAGGGTGTAGGGTTTAGGATGCCTTTTTGGGGTTAGGGTTCAGGATACCTTTTAGGGTTTAGGGTTTAGGATGCCTTTTAGGGTTTAGGGTTTGGGATGTCTTCGCTTCCTCGGTTTATTAGTAGGGGTTTAGGGTTCAGGGTTTAGGATGCCCTGGCTTCTTAGTAGGGATTTCGGGCATGGGTTATAGGAACTACCACAATTGGCCATGCGGGTTATGGGGGCTACTATAACTGGGCTTTGGAATACCATACTTTAATACTTGTTTGGGGGATCTGTTCCTTAAATTAAAGGAACCATTATGAAATAAAGTCTATACTTTTTGCTCCCTGGTTACTTCAAAGCCCAGATAATTCAAGGATCTAATGGGTTAAAGGGACGACTAGGGACTATCACGGGGTCATCGGGATCCATTCCGCCGTTCCCTGCGACGCACCAGGGAGTAGCAGCTGAGGAGGTAAGCGTTGCCTTATTGGTTTTCCTTTGCAGTGTTTAGGGCGTTGAAAGGTCACCCTTTTTTGGACCCCCTGAAAAACTCGGCAACTAGGATGATTGATCTTGGGGTGGACTGGACAAAGCCGCACTCCTCGTTCATCCTGTCCAGCTCGATGACTGGGCTGACTGGTTGTTACTATAGGGGCCTCAATAATTACCCAATACTATTCTTTTTGGGGGGGTTCCTCATAATAATTACACTACAAAGCATTTCAAAACCGTATTCTACCTATTAAGGCCCCTATATTATTCACGGTTGGTGTGGTGAGGAGAGAGGGTCTGGGGAACGTCTGGGAAAGGACTGAACTCACACGTTCTGCTCACACTCGAAATCCAATCTTAAGGTTTCGGATGCTGTGATAATCCCTAACCTCAGAAGAGAGTGAGGGTGAGCTTCGATACAGGTTCAATAGCTAGTTACAGGTTCCCAACCCTCTACCCTACGCTTGAGCGACACTGTAGGCGTACCGGAAATAGGCCGCAATTGTTCTGTAGCCTTGTCCCTGTAAACTAGTCGTAATTTCGGGGCTTATTGGCAGGTGGAGCTTTGCTAACGGGAGGACGGGAGTATATGTATAGGCAAATGTATATGTGCATGTACACCGATGATATGTCCGTATGTGCGTGAGTACTAGTGATACATGCATGTGTGTGTGGCACACACCATACACAGATATGCGGTACACACGAGCCAAGCAAGCTGCCCAAGGGAGTACTGCACCGAATAGATTAGCAACGGTGAGACACGTGCACAAGCGACAACAAACAACAGTCAATCGAGCACACACAGAATCAGTCTAGACGTAGATTCTGTACACATGCTAGTGTGCACATATGCCGATGTGTACTCTTTTCTTGAAAGTGTGTAGCATGCCCTGTATGTGTTCATAAAGCAGCGTATCTACACACATGTGACTGAAAGATACGTATGCTCGTATATGCAGTGACATACGTACATATAGGTCCGTCGGGGTGTGCACATGTATACTCGCACGGCCCATGTGCCTTTGTGTGCGCGCGTGTGCTTATTTATTCATTCTGTGAACAGACTGATTGTAAGAACGCAGATCGTCTAGGGTTAATATAGAAGCCTAAGATAACTAGCTATAATATTCTCTAGGGTCCTTACTATCAACATACTATAAAAGGAGCCCAAAACCCTATTCTAACTATTCAGGCCCCTAAACCCTAAACCCTTATAGAACCCTTTAAGGAACCCTTTAAAGGACCACCACCCCCCCCTCCCCGAAAAAAACAAGCACTTAGTTTAGGGTTTAGGCGTTTAGGGGTTTAGGGTTTTAGGGGTCTAGGGTTTAGGGTTCAGGGTCTAGGGGTTTTGGAACTGCCCAGGTAGCGATAACGTCGGCAGCCTTGGTGGCGCCGTTCCCTGTTGCAAGCAGAATTTTGTGGAGCCCCTCAAGCCTAAATCCTAAGCCCTCAAACCCTAAACCCTAAATCCGAAACCCTAGACCCTCAAACACAAAACCCTAAATCCGAAACCCTAAACCCCGAACCCTAAACCGTAAATTCCCCAACCCTGAACCCTACTAAGCCCTAAAATCCCAAACCCTGAACCCTAAACCCTAAACCCTAAATTCCCAAACCCCAAACCCTGAACCCTAAATTCCCAAACCCTAAAGCCAATCTCTGAACCTGGGAAGCTAAGAAGCTGAGTAGTCGCTCTGACGAACATGGGATTGGGAGCTTGCTTAGGGTTTAGTGTTTAGGGTTTAGGGTTAGGGTTTAGGGTTTAGGGTTTTACGTAGTTCTGATCAGGTTCCCCAGTAGTACCCTTTTGCCCTTTTACTCTTTGGGTTCCCTTATTAAAACCAAATAGTAGGAAAAAAGGTACCCTTATTATTAAGGGTCCACTGGGGAACCTAGGCGTAGTTCTGATCTACTTGGAGGTTCATGGGTAGTTATAAGTGGGGTTATAAGTCCCCCTAATAGGGTTATAATTATAGTTACCCTACTTGTAACCGTACTTATAACTACCCATGAACCTCCAAGTAGGGATTGGGAGCTTGCTTGCGTATTTCTGATCTAGGGTGTAGGGTTTAGGGTTTAGGGTGTAGGGCTCATCTAGGGTGTAGGGTTTAGGGTTTAGGGTTAAGTGCTCATCTAGGAGGCAGGGTTTAGGTTTAGGGCTCATCTAGGGTGTGGGGTTTAGGGTTTAGGGTAGGGTTTAGGGGTTAGGGTTTCTTGTGCCTTTCTGATGTGTTGGAAGGTTCGGCTTGATATCTGCAAGGGTCCACGCAGTAAAAGGAACACCATCCCCGGTTGTCAAAGAGCCCTGCAGTCGAGATATGAAGCCCTGAACTCTAAAACCCTAAAGCCTCCAAGCAACATGAACTCTGAAAGCCTAAAGCCCTTAGACCCTACAGCCGAAATGCCCGAACCCTTAAACCCTAAACCCTAAACCCTAAACCCTAAACCCAAACCCTAAACCCTAAACCCGAAACCCTGAACCCGAAAGCCATATGGCTACGGCTCAAGGCGTTTGGCTTAAAGTATCTTCGGGGTGTCCTTTGGCGTTCGTGAACTAACCGATTCTCCTCCTCTTCCTGGGGGTCATTCGTGTGCCCTTCCCCTTTTGCACGCTTCTGCCCTTCGCGGTCAAGCTCCCGCTGGGTGTACCGGTACCTTCTCCTTTACCTGATTCGCCGGGGCGTCTCCACTATGCCAAGGAAAAACAACGTCCCTGCTTCTCCGACTGAGGTTGTTGATGACAGTGATGGTGATGCTGACCTTCGGGAGGAGAGCGATGAAAATGACGACGAGAAGTGTGTGCCCTGTGAAAGCAGGCCTGTGGGAGTGGGGAACCTCGCCCCATGGCGGTGGACACGACAAATGGGGTGATCAGCCCGTCCCGTGGCAAACGTCTGCGAGAGAGTGAAAACCAAGGACGGCCTTGGCGCTCCCTGGGGAGGCTACGTGATGACCCTCCTCCTTCTGAAGGCTGCGCTGAGAATCCTGGGGGAGATGAAGACGAGGGGCGACCCGTTACTTCCAAGGAGATCCAGAAGCTTCTTGAAGTGCACCTTGGGCCGATTGCTGCCTCTTGGCGGGAGATGACGGGACGTATCACCAACCTCGAGGAGACCGCCGCTAGCAGCAAGACAGAGCGAGAGAACCTGCACGCTCGAGTCACCCAGGTCGAGAAGAAAGGGGTGGCCACTGATGAAAAAGTCACTGGCCTTGCCAAGGAAGTCGCTGAGCTCAGGGAAAAAGGCGCTCCGAGGGGTGCACAAGGAAGTACTCTGGATGCGTGGGCAGACTACCGTTCCAAACATGGGCCGGCCCCTGGCATGCCTGGGGTGTTACCTGGCGGAAGTCGTGATCCTCCTCCCGCTCCTGATGGTGGTTCCAGGGATGAACTATCAGAAGAAGATCGTCGGACACTAATAGTGGGAGGTTGGGCGCAGGACAGTAAGAAGCAGACCATCCTGGATGAGAGTCGTGCGTTCCTCGACCGCGATGGGGTGAAAGACCTTGTTGACCAGAAGGAACTCATCGTCTGGGGCCCGAGACGATCCTTTGGGGTGTTAAAGTTCCAGCTTCGAGACGGAGAAGTGCCTAAGGACATGCGTGATCGCATGTGGGGTGTGATACAAGCAGCCAGGTCCTCCCCTCTCAGCCTCACCTCCACGACGAGCCTCGGGGTGACCAAGAACCTATGGTGCAGCTTCACCAAGACGAGGGAGGCAAGAAAGAGGAGTGCCCATGCTTCCATGATACGACGTGTCTGCCTGGCTATGGTTGGCGACGCGAGAGCTAACTCAGAAGCCCACAGCATGTTGGCCAGCACAGAAGGGTCGTACGAAATCGATTGGGGGTCAGGCACAGTATGGGTTGGAGAGTGGAAATTGGGATCAAGTGCCCATCGTCAACCGCGGGGTGAAGACGTTAAAGTCATCAGCTCTGGCTGGTTGGACCTCGCAGCTATCTCTCGAGCAACTGGGGTGGCCTATGATGTGGCCTCGGCCGCCTTTGAACGCGAACTGTGACCCGGAGAGAGTCTCACCGACAGCCTTGACTTTGGGGGTGCACCAAGTGCTACCCCTCTTCGGGGCGCTTCTGAGGTCAAGCACGTGGGTTGTTCAAGACACACTACACGTAAGCTTGGCTCCTGGAATGTTGCTGGTCAACCTATGTCGAAGATCGATGTGGTGGCTGGTTCCTTCGACTTACTTTGCCTTCAAGAAGTACAACGCGGAACATGTGGCTGGGATGAAATCCAAACAGACTGCTTCGTGTGGTTCACCCATAGGGATGCTCAACAGTGGCGCGGCGTTGGGATTGGGGTGGCCAGAGACCTCTATGACGCTGTGACCGACAAAGTGGCTTGTGGGCGAGGAGCTGCCTGGGTTGTCAGACTCAAGAATCATAAGCGTCTGATATTGTGCTCGTTGCATTGTCCCACCGGGGTGACTGTCGCCAAGTACCACAAGGATGTTCAGGACTTCAAACAGATGCTGCGCAAATGGCATCCTGACCTTCCTATCGTTGCGGGTATTGACGTGAACGAACCACTGGGATGGAACAATGAAAGCACGGAAGACGCTATCATCAGCTCTGGGGCGAAAACAGACCGCCTGATGGGGATGAAAGACATTTGCCCACCCATTACCCCAGGGATGAAAGTCGGGAAGGGAGGCACATTGACGCCATCTTCGTTCGTCTGGTGGGATGTGGTCCTGTTCGTGTACGTCCTGACATGCGTCTTGAGATTAACACTGACCATGCAATGATGGAGCTCCAGGTTGAGATCACAAAAACCAAGCCCAGCACTTGGGTTGACACCCGACCCCGCTGGGTTGTACGAGACTGTGACCTCCTTCCTGCGGTGCACAATTTCGAGGACATCAAGAACATCGCTGGGACGTTCACTGCACCTCTGAAACGTAGGCGCTACTGTGAAGATGATGACCTCAAGGACATGATCTCTCGTGCCAAATGTGCCCCCAGGGATGAAAAAGAAGGAGCTTTGGAAGAAAGTGCACCATGCCCGTCGACAAAGGAAGCGTGTTTGGCAGCAGACACAGATCACGAACATCTTCTATGGCAACTGGGGTGAATACCGTGATTACAAGCATGGCCTTCGGAAACCAAGTTGGTGGGGTGGTCTTCTTTCTTCAAAAACCAGTGCGGACGTGGCTACAGAAGTACAAGACTTCCTGGGAAACAAGCTCTGGGATGTTGCGCGGAACTGGCAAGTGGACCTACACCGCCGCCTTGCCAATGTCCCCTGCAACAAAGCTGCCCTTGTGCCGGTCAACATCGAGGAGATCAACACTGCCCTCCATGGGATGAAGAACCGCTCAGCAGTTGGGGTGGATCGTGTCTGCGTTGACCTCCTACGTCGCCTTGCAGTGGAACAGCCCCAGGCCGTTTGCAACATGTGCACTGAGGTCCTTGCTGGTGAAACACACCCGAGCGACTGGGGTGTATCGCTTCTTGCTCTTCTTCCCAAATGCCAAGCCCCGTCTCATCCGAAAGATTTACGTCCTATCGCTATGGGAAGTGCCGCCATGAAAATGATGTCTCGTCTAGTCATGGGGCACACCTTTGGTGAGTTGAGGGCACCTTCCTGCTGTGCCGCTTCTGGTAAAGGACGGCAGGCGGCCGATCTCATTGGGGTGTTCACTCGCTTGCGGGATGTTTGTCGCGAATGGAGACAAGGGGTGGTCGCGGTTAAGTTGGACGTACGAGGAGCCTTTGACTTCATTGATCGAGGCTGCGTTGCTGACTTCTTGCAATCGCGGCTTGATCATCCTGGGATGGCGCATGAGTTGAGGTTCCTACTCCTTCTTCTGGCTGAAAACACCATGCGTGGGGTGGCCCCTGGTGGAAAAGAAGTGGCGGTCAATGCCAACCGAGGCATACGCCAGGGCAGCCCCGAGTCAGCGGAGCTCTTTGGGATGATTGTCGCTCATGAACTTGAGTGTATTCGGCTCGGAGACCGATGGTGCTGCAGCTCTGCCGGTCTCAAGGACATGCCCGTTGACGTGGGGTGTTTCCAAGATGATATCTTCATCTGGGGTGACAACGCCAACAAGATCGAGAAGAACATCCAACTTGTCGCGAACATGCTTGCCAAGTTAGGGTTGTCGCTCTCGTCTGACAAAACTTGCGTCTCACCAACGCGCACTACAAGGGGCGAAGAACCATGCATGTTGATGGCGAGCTGGTGCACTTCCGCCCCCTCGGCTCGTCCGTTCGGGTGTTGGGGGTTGACTTTGACTTTGATGCTGGGGTGAGCCAACAGAGCCGTGAAATGATGGTCGTACCTGGGATGCTGTCCATGGTAACAAGACGATTCTTTGTGGTCATGCGAGCTGGACGGCGAAGACAAAGATGGTCCGTTGCTTGGTTGAGGGTACTTGGTCGTGGACAGCTGGGGCGTTACACTGGTCCAAAGATGACCTCATGATGCTCAACTCTGCTCAACTTCGGATATACCGTCTTGCTTTTGGGGTGAGAAGAGGACAACATGAGAATTGGGTGGACTACAACAAGCGAAGCCTACGCACGATCAGGGCCTGGATGTCGGCCAATGGGGTGGAACGGTGGAGCACGCGTGTCACCAAGTTCCAGTACTCGTTGCTGGGACACTGGTGTCGCAGACGTGAAGGAGATGGCGAATGTATGACGGCCTTGATGCTGGGTTGGCGCAACCTTAAATGGTGGAGGACAGAGCAGAAGAACCTCGTCAGTGGGAGGAGGCATCCACAGAGATTCCATGCAACCAACACTGAGCGGGACATAGCTGAGGCTCTGGGGGTGGATTGGAAGCTAGCCACGACAAACCGCGAGGGGTGGAAAAATTTGATGCCGTTGTGGATTGCGTTTAAAGATGTACCGTGGACACGCTCAAGGCAAAGTAGACTGGAAGATGCATGAGGGTTGGCTTGGCTTCTTGTGAGCGTGCCGGTGGCTGGGATGATTCTCTTTGACATTGAGTTGATGCAGCAGCCGTGCAGCTCGTGATCTTCGAGCACAACTCGCGATCTCATGTACATGAGGTAGACCCGCACACACTCTCCCCAGTTTATGCAGAAGATCTGGGATGTCAACTCAGCAATGTGTTCCTTTTCTTCTTCTAGGACGGTAGCCTCCTACACAGCTTCGCTAACATGACGCGCCCCCTTCTTGCCGCTCGCCGCCGCCGCTGCTGGGCTGCTCCTGGGATGCCTGGTACAAGGACGCCCTCCCCAATGTGCTCGCCAACGTCGTGTACATTGGGATGATCAGTGGGATGATACGGGTGCTGACGATAATGAAGAATGGGGACGTCTGGAGCCACACCCGGAACCCGCTGCTGGTGGGACGAACAGCTGGCAGGCAACAAGTGGTAAGCTTGGATATGGTCAGTGGGGAGCAGACTGGTCGCCCAGCACCTGGACAGCCTCCACCAACTTGGGACATGGACAGTGGGGTGACCATTGGACTTCGAGCACGTGGTCGCCGGCGCCCCCTACATGGTCTTCCTCGTCAGCGTGGACATCGTGGAGCTCTTCGCCTTCTTGGTCTTCGTCCTCTACGTGGCAACGTAACGGTGACACTGAACGAGGGGTGTGGCCAAGACGTGAACCTGAACCTGGACAGCACCGTGGACAACCTCGTTGGGATGACTGGGAATGGACGTCTTCCTCCTCCCGTGAGACTACAGGAAACACCAGAGACAGGGGTGACTGGGGAAATGACCGCCGCGGCACCACTGAACCCAATGAAGGTGCGCGTTATCTACATGTGCCAGGTTGGGGCAGGGGTGCACCTCTTCATCCACCCGAACATCGAGCACGTGGGTTCTACAGACACAACCAGTGGGTTGGTCGCCAGCGAGACGATTGGGAGGAAAGATTTCATCGTGGTGGTGGTGGTGAAGCACGCACTCAACGACGTGAAGGACGCCAACGAGATTGGGATGATGGGACGTTCCGTCCTACGGCGTTCTGGCGGGCCTATAGCCGTGGGGTGAACTATCAGATCGATGATTCGGCTCGGGACACTTTGCGTGAGATCCTACGAGCCTCTGATCCCACGCGGGAGCGCCAACCTACCTCGGGGGCGGCTAGTTCTGGTAGTGCCTCTCGGGATGGCCCACTACAACCTCAACACCAATGGCGCAGTCGTGCGGGGTCTGGTACTATCAGTTCACCCTGGTGGACCCTTCAACAGTGGAAAGACTGGGGTGACTGGCATCAAGCGCCGCGGATGATGGACGCTGTACCCGGCGACAGTGCTGATGATGTTGGGGTGGACTGGTCTGGTTCTGGCCTGCCCACGGTTGATGACCTGCTACGTCTTTGGGAGGTGGTTGGTCGTCGAGCACCTGATACGAGTACTACCACGACCACCTCGTCTACTACGTCTCCTGCCAGTGGTGATGGGACGTGTGCCACCAGTATGTATGGGATGTCTGCCGCGGAGGACGTACCTGAGATGCAAAACACACAACATGAGGACGCCAAGGATGGGGACGAGGTTATGATGATGCAGAGGGGTGTTGGTTCTTCTCGCCCGAACAACAGTGACGAAGAGGAAGAGACACCGGACCAGCAAGACGGGGTGAACCAGGATGATGATGGCCTCCACAATTGGGGACTAATTGCAGAAGAGAGGGATGAACTCATCCCCGTGGGGTGGAATGATGGCATGCTGTCCGACCTCAACGCTATGCTCGAGTACCTGCAGGACGTCGGTGACAACAGTGGGGTGGAGCACGTGGCGTGGGCGCTTGGGATGTGGGCCTACAGCAACATCCTCGCGGAGACAACGGTGGAACTGGTCAATGATGTTCTCTTTCGTCGTGTCCAAGGGGTGTCAGAAACGTATCCAAGTGAATATGGAACTCGTGGCAGACTATGTGCTGGACTGGCTGGGTTCCAAAAGCAGCTTGGGGCGTTTCAATGTGGATTGGTGCAGTCGAGACTACAAAGATGCGTGGTTCACGGCCAATGACATTGGGGAGCCAGCCCCGCGTACACCGGCGGGGGACATGCTGGTTCACAACACCACAGCCCGCGCCCTCAGCGTTGCCCGACAAAGAGCTCGCGCCATGATCCAGCGGGCCAGGGCCTCTGCCGCTGCGGCTTCAGGGGGTGCTTCCTCGGGAAACAATGCTACTGAACAACGGGGTGATCCAGTGTCCGTTGTGCCACCTGTCGTCGCTTCGCAAAGTGCAGGGGATGTTCGCCCTACTGACACGTCGGAAGCAGATGCTGAGAATCCGCCCATGAGTGAAGATGGGGAGGACGACGCCACAACTATGATGCAGCTGACGCAAGCTGAGGAGGACCAGTTGCACCAGCTTGGGGTGGACGATCGTGTACGTCGCCAACTACGTGACCTACTACGAGGACTATGTGACCAAGAGACAAGAGGGGTGGGAGCTGAACATCGTTGGGGTGTTGCACAGGTAGTAGAAGCAGCGCGTCATGCTGAAGGGGTGACCATAGTCTTGGTGGAGATCCTCGAACGTCGTACCCGCCCATCGCCTGCGATGACCTGCTGGCCGTCTCAGAGGATCCCTCCATATGGGGTGGTACGCTCGCGGATTGCAGCCGGGATCCAGCAATACCGCCATGCCCTTGTCCAGAACTACCACCTTGAAGTTGGGGCGGCGATGCTGGAACTGACGGGGTGTCCGCCTGCTGGGGCCCAGCATGGTCCCGACGCTGTGGCTGGTGCAGTTCGTGTCCGCAACAGACGGGGTGACCCCCGTTCACGGTCGCCGTTGCGAGCTCCTTCCACTGGTCAACGGGGTGCTCCTCGTGAACCGCCTGGTCTTCTACCGCCCGGTGTACCAGAAGGAGGTGCTGTTGGGGTGACTGCTCCTGAACCAGACGGAGACGTTGTTGGGGTGACAGCTCCACCTGCTCTTCCTGCTGACGGTGAACCGCCTGGTCTTCTACCGCCCGGTGTACCAGAAGGAGGTGCTGTTGGGGTGACTGCTCCTGGACCAGACGGAGACGTTGTTGGGGTGACCGCTCCACCTGCTCTTCCTGCTGACGGTGAACCTCCTGCGGCGTGTCTCTCCACTGGTCAAGCTCCTCCTGCTGCTCGTGTGCCCCTTCCAGCTGGTGGTGTGACCGAGTTGTTGACGGCAGGGGTGCATGACCCAAGTCAACCCTCTGCTGTACCTGCTGATGGGCCTCCTGCGGCACATGGACCTGCTGCACTACATGTTCCTCCAGGTGCTGTTGGGGGTGTTCCTCCTGCTGCTCGTGCACGCCCTGCTCTTCCTGGTCGCACTCCGGCTGTTCTACCTGCGCCGCCGGTCCAGACGGCCTCCTGGGAGGACAGCCGCTTGGCTGACACGAACGCGGGGATGATCGCCGAGCCGTCTGAGGTGGTGTCTGATGGGGTGCACGATGCTTATGTGCACCTTGGTTCGGGGCGACCTGGAGCTCATCATGATGTGCCTCTGGCTGCGGATGATGTCAATCGTCCTGGAGAACCTGGGGTGGAACAGTAGCGTCGTCCTCGCCGAGACAGTGACCTAGTGAAGCAATGGGGCGAGTGTGGTGAAGGCTGCTGGAGAAAGAGTCCACTGGGAGTGAGTGGTGTCTGAGCGGGGTGTCCGAGTGATGCCGTGCTAGAGTGCTTTTTGGACTGGGACGTTACTTCGTGATACTCTGTCTGAGCTGTGATCCGAGTGTATGCTCCTGTGAGACTTGTTCAGTGAGAGTTGGGGTGAAGCACGCTCTTTGAAGTTGGGCAAAATGCTTGGCTTTGGGGTGTGCGCCCTTTCTGGTGTAAGCCTCGATGAGGCAGGCAAGACGCGCTAACAGTGTGAAAGGCCGGTGCACTTTAAAAAAAAAGAACCCGAAAGCCTCAAGCCATGAGCCCGAGAACTCGAAATTCCGAGACCTTCATGGAGCCATCACATACTGGGCTTTGGAATACCTAAAACCTAAACCCTAAACCCTAAACTCTAAACCCTAAACCGTTTTTGGGGGATCTGTTCCTTAAAGGAACCTGTATGAAATAAAGGTCTGTACTTTTTGCTCCCTATTTACTTCAAAGCCCAGCATAGGGTACATAGTAGGTGTATAAGGATCCCAGGGTCAACCCAGAGAGCCCAATGCCCCTTAACTAAGATACATACCTAAAATCATAAATAAGATTAAGGCCCCTATAATTTAAGGTATATTCCGTATTTAAGGGGTATTGGGCTCTCTGGGAAGGGCCCATACTAGGGGCCCATGGTTTCAACCTTCCTTAAACCCTAAACCCTAAACCCTATAATCCCTAAACCCTAAACTCTAAACCCTACACCCTAAACCTTAAACACTAGGGGCCCATGGTTTCAACCTTAGATATTTGCAGCTCTCAGGTTTCTGAGACGCTCCGCGGCGAAGGCGGCAGAGCTATGCCGGCTCCTCAACACTTTAGCCTAAACCCTAAACCCTAAACCGGCTCCTCAACACTTTTAGGGCTTTGGGGGCTGTTTCGGGTGTTCGAGTTATTTTCGGGTATGGAGAGCGGATAAGTTCTTTGTCGGTTTGTTTAGGTTTTTTGGGGTGTTTCTTCTCCGATAAAGCACTTTTCGATTGCAGTTTGGGATTTCGTGGTGCATTACAGGCTTGATGAGGAGACAGAGACTACCAAAATCCTGAGCTCTCATTTGTTTAAGCTGTCAGTCTCGCCTCGCGTGTACCCCCAACAGAGGACAGAGACCTGCAGTTTTAGGGTTTAGGGTTTAGGGCGCATTGGGCTAGGACTTCCAGGCATGGACGGGCGGGGATGTGTTGGGTCTTGCTGCCTGGAAGTGCTTCGGACTGTAGGGTATTCAGAAAAAGGTGGTAGTAGTAGTCGTAGTAGTAGTAGTAGAAGTAGTAGTAGTCGTGGTCGTCGTCGTCGTAGTAGTAGTGACGTCCTCTAATTGTCGTCATTACAGTTCCTGTAGAAGCAAATTCCAATTCAACGCCGAAAAACCCTATTCTGGTTCTGGGGCCCCTAGTATCGTTGTTTTAAACTATCCCAACCATGAGCTAGTCATGATCAGCCCTTTGTAGCCGCTCCATGGGGTTTCAGGTTTTGTTGGTATTTTAGTAGAGTAGGGTTTATCTTTTTAGGGTTTAGGGTTTGAAAGACGCTATGTGCCTTAGGGCTCTCGGGTTTCAGACATTGATTTGATGCGTATCAGCGGTTTAAGGTTTAGGGTTTAGGGTTGCGGGCAGCACGCTGAGGCGCGGTGATGGATCCCGAGCTGGTCGCCAGCACAGAGCCGTTCACTCAGTATGGCCAGGGCACGACAAAAGATTCTGAATTGAAGAGCGGTTTACAGGTGCTGGTGTTGTTGTTCGATAGTTAGCGTGTCCGGATCTAGAGGAAAATAAGCGTCAAGACGAAGATGTGCTCTGCAATGTCTTGGTACATGATAGAACAGAAAACAACGGAAGTTGCGCGATGATTTATAGGAGCCAAAGACTTTTGCAAGAAGTCAACTACAGTATTGCTGGCATGGACTAGTACTAGTACTAGTACTAGTACTAGTACTACTACTACTACTACTACTACTACTACTACCACCACCACCACCCCTGCGACAACTACTGCTACTACTACTACTATACTACTACTACTACTACTACTAC